TTATTATTATTATTTTTATCATTATTATTATTATTATTATTATTATTATTATTATTATTATTATTATTATTATTATTATTATTATTATTATTATTATTATATGCATTTATACAGTATGTTGTATGTTAATGGAAATATAACGCCTGAGTAAAAAAGCTTGTTTATTTATAATAATATCAACAAATTGATTTATTTGTAAGCCTAGTATTTTTTTGAACCGTAAAATCAAATTTTGTTTATAAACTATCAAAATGAAAATTGAAAGTAATATTCACACGATGCAGTTGCTGTAAATGAGCAATTTTCTGACGGGTTGCCAGCTCTATCGTACGCAGTATACGTCACGTTGATAGACGCGCTAATGTCACCATCTGGTATAGATATCACAAAACCAGAAGAATGTGATTCATCTATAGTTACTACACACTCATTGTCTGTCCATGATGGGGGAGTCCATGTTACCGCTGCGGACGTACTGCCAAGGGGAACAACTACTTCAACGTCATCCGGGCAAGTTGATTCTAATGTCGGTATCTCTAAATCTTCAACTATAATAATTACCGAATAATACCTTGTTAAATATATAGTCGTGTCATTTCAATAATGCTCTTGTATATTTAAATCTCAAATGTTCACTTTGACAAAAAAAAAAAGTTGACATGATGTGCCTATTATGTGATGTCATCATGACCAAGCATATTACATGTTTTTATCAAATAAAATTTAATAGTCTGGAGAGAGCTTGACATTTTGTCAATGATAGGCTTACATGTGTTAGAATTAAACAATAGAATTTCGTAAAGTATTTATGTATATTATACTGTTAATAACTCGGGTTTGTGTTAGATTTAGGTGTTTTTTCAATGTTTAAATTGTTTTTGGAGAGGTATTCTACATGCTTTGAAAAACGGTACCATTTTTATAAATAAAATGCCAATAAATTTCCAAATACAAATAAAAATGTTTAGATCCATGTGTTACTTGAGGTTATGACCCGTACGAGCAAATCAATGTTTTATTTAATTATTTAAAGGATAGTTTTAACCATTATACAATATATTCCCTCATACTGTATTCACTTAACGATAATGTTAGAGTAAGTGGCGTATGTTGCTGGAGGTATTCCGTAATGTTAATACATTCATAAATCTCGTCGTTTATGTTGGCGTTATACCCCTCATCTTAATTGAAAACTTCTTTATGCCCGCCCCTTAAGTATATAGTTGCTAGACAGCGAACGTATTATGTACGTCAATACATGTGTTTTGAGAAAACAGTGCGCCTGCTGGTCCTGATTTGCGCTTCTGGAGGTCCAATCTGATAACGATATTACGGTTACATAGCCCTCATCTGGCCCTCTAATGTAAGTTCAGAATCATACATCTCATGAGAAAGATCTAGCATAATGAATAAGGGCTACCGTACTTACATATTTCACACACATAACCCTGTTTAGTTGAACACTTTAGATCATTCCAACGGCCTGAGGTCTCAAGTTCAACGCAATCTTCATTACCAGCATCGTTTGGTTCACCATTGTTGAAGTCTAGAATTGAAATATCGTACACTTGATCGATAAGTAAACAGATAATCTTTCATTCTTACGTGGTGAAAAAACTATAAATCAAATCTCAAACTAAAGTTTTTGGTCTTAATAAATTCATATTTCAATTAGAGAATTAGTTACATTAAAATAAACATCATGCGTACGTTATTAGTAGTAGATAACACTCCTCAAATTGGCTGTTTTTATATAACATTATATTACTGCCTAAACATGAAATGTAAAAAGCTTTCAAAACACCTTGAAACTACTAAAAATGACTTCCTTCCGTTCGGCTAAATTAATTAACACTTTAAGATATGTAAACCTACTTAGTGGAAGACAACTGAGTCAAAAGCCGTCAAATATATGTTGATAAAAATATATAGGTAAAAAAATGATTTGAATTTATTATAATTTGTGATTTTTAATGAATTATATTTTTATATTTCTAGTGTAAATTTTATTTTTATTGGGGATGCGCCCTCAAGCATTCTGGGTTGGCCACATTTAACAAAATTAAATTTGTGACAGGCTTGTTGGTAATTCAAATAAGATATACACTTTCTTTATTTATTCGATAAATAAAAACATAAAAAATAACAACTCGCTTTGAATAAAGGCTAGTGCCTCATTTGGAATAAATGCCTCCATGGAATAAATGCCGCGAAGCGTTTATTTTTTATCTCTAACGAATGTTCCCTAATGACTAAATAAATCGAATGGAATCAACATCATTCGCAACACACTCTATTAATGTTCTACTCCAGTAGAATTACAATTTTTTTTTTCTAACCTGGTTGGGATCAATAAGTGTTGTAGTTCCACATTTACAGTTAAATTAAGGTGTGTTTATTTGAGTATACGTATCACCTTTACACCCAAAAAATTAAACGCCTCTCTCAAGTAAACGCCTCCCTCGATTAAACGCCTCCTTCGAATAAACGCTTTCTCAAAAATCCCTCTCAACAATAAACGTCACGGGCGTTTATTCGGATAAATGCAGTTGTAACTTTATATTTTAACAATATTAATTTTAAAGTTTTTTAGACCCAGTGTAATTTATTACATTTATAATATACAGCCCTCTCTCCAGGTTTTTTTTAAAGAGTGGTGGAATTTCATAAATTGTTGTCCAAAAAATTTAAAGGTTGGTGCGCAAAATTTTAAAGGGTGCCCCCCGAAAAAAATCCTCTTATCTTAGTTCAATCTCTAGTTGAAGTGTGTCTAGTCATGGAGCTTTAATATTAGATGTTATGATTTTGTAATCATGTTCAAATGCATGTTTGCCACCGTTGTGTTCAATTATTATTATTATTATTATTATTTTAATTATTATTGTTTTTATACAGTACTTTACAAGTGGTGATTATTATTTGTGTGAAAATAGTTTAAAAAATAATAGGAACCAACTTCATACTTCTGTATTCTGACTGCAATCCATCACGTATGTAAATCGCAGGAGCAGATGCTCCTTTCCAAATTGTTTTTAGGATAGCAGGTAGGGGCACGATCCAGTGAACACTCAACTGGTAATCGTGGTGGTCGAAATGTACGAAATACAATTTTTTAATGACCTATACCAATTGTAAATGTATAAATTCAATTATGATTTATGATATTTATAAATAAATGTAGTGGTTTTTGCCACAAGGAGAACAAAAATGGTGGTGACCATGGGATGTGCAAAGCAAACAGTCAGTGAGGATATATCATTTATACCAACTTCCGACGATAGTTTTTCATTTTAGTATATAGAACTGACCCAACAACATAGCCTGCCGTTCGGATTAATTATCGTATTTCCCGATTATAAGCTAAGATCTTGACTATGCTCTAGATGCTTCAGTACTGGGGCGGATTTGGTGGTAGTGGGTGCATGCTCACAGCACCTCAGCCCTAGCATGTGGCTGGGGCTGAGGTGGAAAAGTTTGAGAAGATGGATCTCTATACCAGGAAATTGCACCTTCATATCTTAAAAATCTTACCGGTAATTCATATCAACAAATACAATTTAGGAGGTGTGATCGCACAGTCTCCGCCCCCTGCATTTTCCCCAGCAATATTACTATATTACCCAAATAAAGATCGTAACCCAAGAGATTGGCCACATTGAAATTTAGTCAATGTTACATGCTGGCTTAAATATAATACCAGTTCTACAGTAGCCTGTGCCTTATTTTGTTATACTCGCGCACGGCTGATTAGGCCTACTCACAATTTTTTACACGGTACTATCTACTGTTCATAAAAACGGATATTTCAGTGCATACTACGACCGTCACGCTTACTTTACGGTAGGTGCCTATACGTGCACGCGCAGGCTGCGTACAAAGAGATCCTGTGGTTGGGCTTGTAAAGGGTGCCTCAAGATATGCGATTGAAAAAGAGAGCTTGAAAGTGAGGGGGAAGAATTGTTGAACTGCCTAAAATTCGACACTTCGGTATTTATTGTTATAACGTTTTGAATAAATTCTGCCAGTAGACCTACATATTTTTTTTTAGCGTGGCGATAAAATTTTAAGCGTGGTGCAATCTTTGCTTATTTTGCCTAAGCGTGGCGGTCATTTCGTGTCTTTTTTCCGCCCCAAGCGTGGCGGTCCCGCCACGCTTAAGTATAGCTGGCAAGACCCCTGATATAATGACATAGGCCTATGTAATTTATATGACTAATACATTTTAATTTGATAATAGTTGATATATTAACAGCAATTATGTAGGCTCTGTCACTGTAAATACGAAATAAAGAAAAAATAAAAGAAAATACACATTTGTTAATTGAAACACTGCTTATCAGCAAGATTCAAGGTTCAAATTTCTTTATTTGTGTCCTTTCGAAAATCCATTGGTACATTAACGGAATAAGAAAGACAAGTAAGAAATTATAAATTTCAATGCATAGGATTGTAATTAGCGCACTCACTTATCTATTCTGAAAATGTTGTGCGCCTCCGTATAAACAAATTCTGGATCCGCCCCCTGTACAGGTTTGTGATTTTATCACTTTACCCGAGGGTAGCCAAGTAAAAGATGCGTTGAGAAGAAACTATCTGTTAAGATACTCTTTACTTTATCAATAATTTTAATCTCACAAATATCATCTACCATAGTTGTCTGGTGGTTTGTTGTAGAATTTTCCAGTCTGATTTATGATAGGGCCTACGTTATATTCTCTTATAATCGATTTTTCTTAAATTGCCAAACCATACATAACTTTCAAACAAAGGAGCGCTTTCAATAACAGAAGAATAAAACATTATACATGTATCCTGTAAATTTAGCTGCTGGCTAAGAAATGTATAAAAAATAAAATCTCAATAATTGATAATTCAAAATATCATATTAGTACTGATCTTACTAGTGTAATCGGAGCATTCTCCAGATTCTATCCAAACCCATACATTTTCTTCTTCTATATCTCTTAAGCCAATCCATACATCACTGCTGCTAATGGAGTCAATAAAGGTATTCTCATTTTCATCCTTCACTACAGCCAAATCGGCCCCAAGTGCAATACAGAAAGCCCTGGCATTTTCCCATGTTTTGGAGTCCGAAAAGTATTGATAACAACTGGCGTTATATGTTTCCCATTCTGACCCACACGATATACAAAAGGCTGTAAAACGAAAAAAAAAATTATATTAGAATTTATATTTCTTTATTGGAGAAACTGGTATAACTCTTCGTTACCAGAATAAAAGAACACAAATGTAGAAATTCATATGCTGGAGCGAGTATTTATCAAAATATGTAGGAAGACACTCAGGCTATGTTCTCACACGGCAGCTAACGGTTAGCAGGATCCGGATCCTGCTAACCGTTAGCTGCCGTGCGTCCATGCGAGAAAATCCCGATCCGGATACCAACAATATGATGATCGAATCACTGGCCAATAAGAAACTGGAAATTGTAAACGCGTACGTGTGATTGGTTGATGATAGCAGGATTCGGATCCTGCTAACCGTAGCTGCCGTGTGAGAACAGGTGCTAATGGTTAGCGCTAACGGTTAGCTCCCGATCCGGATACTGGAGCTCTCGTGAGAACCAGGCTGCATAGACGCACGGTAGCTAACGGTTAGCATGATCCTAGCTGTCGAAACGCGCTCAACTTGCTAACCGATAGCGCTTGCTAACACGTGCGTTTGTGGGAAAACACGTGTGTTTGTGAGACGCGCGCGTATTCCTAGCACTGTTCTGATTGGTCAAATTTAATTGACACTCCGGAAAGGTCTATTTAGAATGAAGCCCGTTTTCACAAAAATCAGATCAGGCAGTAAAAGGTAAGACAAACGCAGAAAACATAATTTCTAAAGAAAAAATTGATTGATGGATAAAAGAGAGGATAGGAAGAATCAGTATGACCTTGAATATGTAATGTCAGCCATGAGTTAAACAACATGAAAAATTCAATCCCATGTTGAACTGTCGAATTTATTTAAAACATTTATGTTAATTATTCAATTTAATTAATTTTTTTAATGACAAATAAAATCCCTATCCATTAACAGACAACTAAAGTAATACATTTCCTCTATTCTTTTTAATAGACCCTGAAATTGGCTGGTAATCAAATTAAGGATTTTTTTTTTGTAGTAAACTGTCTGTAAATCAGTTGGAAGTTAAAAACTAGTATGATTTACTTAAATGAGCTATTTAGATTTTTTCCCGCCAGTACATCTTTAAAATGTTAAAAACCTTCGGAACGGAAGGGGCTTTTACGTAGGGGTAAGGCTTAGGGCCCAAAGTGGCCAGGGGCCCAGCATCCTCGTTAACCACCGGCCTTTATGAAATATCCATTGTTATTGCTGATTGAGTAAACATCAGGATACAAAATACATAGAATCATCCAGCAGTACCCACGGAATAAACATTGAGTTAAAATCCGGTTTATTGCATTATGAAGAAATACAAATTTTCTGTTCAACTTTGTTAGTTGAAATTATTACCGAATTTACATTTAAAACGAAAGTGTTTAGCAACACAATTAAAAATAATCAATTAGAGAGAATTATTTTTTTGGTAGAAATTGATATATGTAGGCCTTGTTTTACAGGCCGAAATAATCCGATTAGTGTGAGAAAGCAATTCATATTCCAATACAATTACGACAATATTCATGGTATTGGAATATCATTATTGAATTGATTCGTATTGTTCCTCATGGCCAACGTCAAAGAACCGAAATAATCGCTCATAATGAACTGTTTTAATCGAATTACACAATCAATTTAATCGAAAGGTTGACTATCACCTTCAATTGGTATACACCTATATGGGCGGAGCCCATTAACAAAAACGGCCTTCAGATTATGGAAAGCATAACTTTAGAGTGTGATTCAAATAAATTGTGATGAAATCAGTTTTAGTTCAGCAAATGAATCCATAGGAAGCTTTTGATTAAGTGGCGAACGGTAATATGTTGGAAATAATGACATCACATCTGCGCATGCGATGGTGTTGAGTTTTCGATTGTGTTTGTGGTCTAAATTCTACCTAGGACACGTTTTGGCCCGAATCCACATTGCACGGAGAACGACTGCAATTAGTTTTAACATGGCATTTTTTCAACATTCTTCCATGGTTTTAACATTGAAAAAAAATATTTTACGGTATCTTTACTTTTCTATAACATCAAAATTACAAACTGATCTGTAGAAATAATTTTAACATGTCAAAAATACAAAAGAAGTACAACCAAATTTACAACAGGACGAGAAGGAACATCAATTACCAAAAATATTATACGGTATCTTTACTTTTCTAAAAAAAAACCAAAAAAAAACATCAAATATACAAACTGATCTGTAGAAATAATTTTAATAATAAAATATATCAAAAATACAAATGAAGTACAACTAAATTTACAACAGGACTAGAAAAAACATCAATACAATTATTACAAAAAGAAAACTTATAGCATATCCAAAAACAAATAAAGGTTATAAAACAAACACAATATTGGTTAAAGTAGGCCGCTTCTGAATGCTTTACCCAATTTTGTATACAACATAGTAAATTAAAAATAACAATAAGAATATAATGTTGCACCCCATTTATTGTTTTTATTGTTAAATTTTATATTATTATGAAAGTTTCTCCGCCTGCCGAACCAAGTAACAAAAAACGCCGCTCCCACTCGGACTACCCGATACCGATCGCTGATGAGAAAATTGAAAAGAATTCCCAATCACGACCGAAACGTCTTCACTCGGCTCAACAAGAAAGAAACCACCACAAAAGTTTTAACTTGAAACCTAATGAATTTCTTTTCCTAATTTTGTTATTGTTGCTAATTATTATTAATTGGTATTATTGAAAATATTATTTACTAATGTTTGACAAGACAATGCACTAACCTGTATCCAAATGATTGTTAATGTAAATAAGTAAAATTAATTTTACTAATATTGTCCACATGGTTTCAAACTCCAGATGAATGAGAAAAAGAAAAAAATAAAAGTAAAGTATCACACTTATCTAACAGAAATCACCAGAATAGGCGATTTTATATCTCAATCACTGTAGCATTTTTAGTATAGTCCATCTACTCCAGAAATCAAGTGATATGATTGGGAATTCACTAAATTTCTTAATATAACAACTGTATTTAAATTAATTACCGAACTATTCAAACATGGATAATCAGAATGGATACTTATTTAATCTGAACAACCAATCAAAATGATCGTTAATGTACTACTCTCTGATCTCATAAATTCCGTGCCAGTAAAACAATACTGCGCATGCACAATAACAATTGTGTGATATTATCGATGGGAAATCTATAATTTAAAATTAATAATTACAGTATATACCTGAAATTGGTCCAAAACAAAGATGTTTTTTTTTTTAATAGTTTTTTTGGATTCACATTATATAATAATATATAATTATGTCACAGTTCATTTTATTGTATTAATTATTATTAGCTTAAAATTAACATCATTTGGTTATTCTTCATTGTGTAACTAAGGCGATGGACAATGTGTTTTCATGGATTATTAGTCCAGGCGTCTGCTGGTCAGGTAAGGGCTACTATGTAAAAACAAGGACACTGGCGCAGCTTGTACTGTAGTCGGGCGGTTTCAATTCAGTTGAAGGCGAACGGAAGTTTGATTGCCTTCATTCCACCCGATTTCATAATAATTAGATACACACAGCAAGACGCAAAATTTATAAACAATTTGCTTTAGTATTGAGAGAGTATTGTTAATAAATCAATTTACTAAGTCAAACAAAATGTTATTATCAATATTATGATTATTTCATTCGCGAAATGATTGATTGAGCAATATAATACTCATTATAATTATTATAGAATCTTGATTGTTTATTTGCTATTCAAGCAGAAATTAAAGCAAACACAGAGGATCATTATTTTTGTTTGGGTATTGACGCCAAGATATCTGGCGCATTATAAGTTGGCCTGCCCAAAATGTATAAAAACAATATAATTATTCTCTAATATATATAGGCCTAGGCGTTATACAGTAAATATTTATAATAAAAAAGAAAATAATTAGCATGGTAATATGAATATACTTAGTTAGGAGGTAGGCCTAAGTGAAAACTTCAATCGTTGATGGTAGAATATCAAGGTATAGGCCCTATTGAGGAGTCATATATCATAATCAATTGTTGGTCCAGGTTTATGTGTTTTTATTAATTTGTTTTAATAAAAAACGATATAGCTAAATGATTATTAAAGTTTAAAGAAAAATACTCAATATAATTATGAGGCTTTATAAACAGAAAATGGTGTAGAAGCTTTCTAAAAAAATATCATAAATGCGAATGCAAGCACCTTTTTTATATTAAAGCAAACCATTAGATTACAAAATCCTATTTACTTGTAGTAGAGATTCGGATAGGTTCTAAATGCTATGAAGTACAAATTCAAAATATAATCCCTTGTCAGACGAACTAAATAATGAATATTAGACACAGACAAATAATTAATATTGTAACCTTTAACACAACTGAGGATAAGCCTATGTAGAATTTTTTTTAAAAGTGTTTCATTTTTCCTTAAATGCAATAACAGATAAATAATAATTATCATTTTTATTGTCATTATCACTAGCATTATTGTTAGTATTATTATTTATTGTTATTATATTGTTATTGTTGTTTTTATTTTTAATACTATACTATAGGGAAGGAAATATATAGCCCTATATGCATTTTGAGTTGGATTCTCCTGCCATGCTGTCCATTTGTGTGAGTACTAAAAAGGAAGATAATATTTTTTTTTCTGTCTGTGTTATCCCTTGGTTGTTCAGGTTTGTTTTATTGTATTTCAAATGTTCAGAGTTTCCAATTAATAAAATGAAATCAGTCTCATTAAAGGATTAGAAATTCCGTACTATACTAGGCCCTACTTGTACTTGAAATCAAGTTCCCATCCTATCTAGTAAGTTCGCACGTAACACTGTTTTCACACAAGCACCCTGAAAAAATTCAATAATAATATCAATAAACAACTAATTGGTCAGTTTACCACCATCCAGCCTCTCTACCCAAACATATAAGTATTTCCCTGTTTGGAGTGTCTGCAGATATTATTCTCCTGAAGACGATTGAAGCATCTCAATCGAAACGTCGAAACTTACTCAACAACAACAGTTCTTTTAAGAAACTACTTACGTGGTGTACCGCAAGCTTCAACATATATAATTAAAAAAAAATAGTTATGAGGACATGTACTGTCAGTCCTCAAATAATCAATAACTCAATTAAGACAATAATTATCAAGCTTTACATTTGTAAAAGTAAAAATATAAATACTATCAAGTCTACAGGTTTAATGACAAGGGGATCAAGACCCAAAACAGCAGTATCTGTGTAGTGCGTCTCTGAAAATATGAATACAGTAAAAAAATAATACAAAGAAAGACCAATCATTTTACGAGATCTTTTAAAGATTACAAAACCAGCCAATTAGAAAGTTGAAAACTCCTTTGACGTCAGTTTTGAAATAGTTTAAAGCATATATGTTAGTTAATGCTCTGAACACTGGTTACGAAAAAGGTGAAATGAGCGTTTCACAATTTAGAGCTATTGTGTCTTTATTGGAAGGAAAGGAAAACGTGAATTTAATAAGTCACCTGTATGTGATGGTCTTCAATCAGAATTTTATAAAACTTTATAACGTCTTAATCTTTTCACTCAAACCGTACGGAAAAGATCCAATCCAATCTTCGACTATAAGGCGCATTAACAATAAAACGAGCCACTCCTGTACACCAGCTCCAACCAATAAGTTGAAGCACTTGGTCTGCTTCTCAAACAGGTTTCTCGACTCACGAAGCAGTGTGTCGCAAGGGCTAACCGTGGCGATAATTGTAAATTACCATTAAATACGTAAGAGTTGACAATTGTATCACCATATCCAGCATCATCATCATCACGATCGCTTCGGTAGGCTTCCGATCCAAAAATTCGGATCCGGTGTGAATGTACATTAATGGCGACCACTGTCTACTGTTTTAGTTCTGCGACTTCTAATGTTCACAGGGGTCCCAAGTTGGAAGATATCCATTCCGGGAAATCTGTTTAAATGAGCTTTCTTAACGTTTTTAATTTAATGTTTCTGCACATGGTGATACAATCGGCACTGACTTACATGAGACAATCGATAATAAACTTTATTATCGACTGTCTCATGGAAGTATTTTAAGTAGTAAAAACAATGCAAATAGGCCTAGGCCTACTATGAATTTTCAGAAAATAGCTTATTATCCCTGAGATTCTTGCCTGCAGAAATGCGGGAGGCCGTTCCGATTTCCGGGAAACTCCCGCGACTTCTTCCGGGAGACTTGTGACCCCTGTCTTCACATGGAATGCTATTTAGGTAGACAAGCAGCTCCACTTTAGAGTTGTTTATTTATTCAAATTCTTTTGGCAACAAATCACCGCTAATCAGTTCTAATGTAAATTTAGTGGTCGAGATTGGAAGTGTCTCCTCTAAGACTGAGGTGATGAGAAGACATGGAAGATGTAATAATAATAATAATAATAGTTGGATTTGTAGAGCGCATCATGTGAAAAAGCCTCTATGCGCTTGAAATGATGTCATATAATGCTGTAGCCAAGCATCTCTTCCATCTGATGTTACAGAGAACTTTGTATATTTGTTTTTACTTTCTGCCTGAATAATTCAATAAGTGTATGCCCATTTATATTTATCAGAAAAAAATTGCCTTTGAAGACTAGATCCTACTCTACATCTACTCAGATTAACATTATCTTTAGTTGAACAATCCCCGAAATAACTGAAAGATAAAATAAGAATTCCTTTCTACTCAAAGAATGAAATAAATTTTCACATAATCAAAAAACACCATAGCAACTTATTCAAATATACTGTATGGTTCTTCGATGTACAGTACAATTTTCATTCAACTTTTATCAATACACTGTATTGTAATGTATTTTTATCCCAGACAGCACAACACTGTATTATTTTAAGTATTCTTTTATTATATTCCTGAACCACTTTTTTTAGCACAAAAAATTTATTTAGTTTGCAAAATAAATACAATTAGTTTAAAACAATACTATGGGGCTTTATTCATTTGAAGTGACTTTTTAAATTTGTATTTTTATTTTTTATATTATTATTTTAGTTTAACTTCAACACACATGTATTATTCTGAACGTAATGTATTATTACAATATATTTGAATTACAGTACAATATCCTATCCTACACGTACCACAACATCAAGTCAAAAAAATCATAATTCTTGTTCGTCAAGAATTCTTTAATTTTTAATAATTCATTTTGTGACAAAATAACTTATGTTTAATGTAATGTGAAATATGAAGATTTAACTATATTTTACTATGGAAAGCAATAATTCTGTAAATTAATATGGTGACATCGTTAGAAATTGCACAGTAGTTGTAAGATAATCCACACTCCAAACACTGTAGTACTTCCTAATACATTTCTGAGAGGATTTTTATTTACATTATGGCTAGAAAATTTAACTACTGACTGTTCTTTAACAATTAAACTGAGGCAGCAGCCGGTGCTTTTTCTTCATTGAATTTTTTCATCCTTGCTTCAAGTTCTGGTCTGAAGTGACGAATCAAACCCTAGAAAAGAAAGTAAAAAACATTTAAAGTTATTTGACTTAGATATGTAAATAAAAATCTGTAGTTGATTTTTCTCAGTTGGTGAATTAAATAAAATAATAAACATATAGTTGAGTAAACAGCATACTATGGACAGTAATAATATATTTTTTGTATTTTGATGTTATTAATGACATTTTTAGGTGTTATAATTAAGTCTAGTAATTTCTTAATGTGATATTTCTTTGTATGTTTTTGTAATGATTTGTCCTTTGTTGTTGCAATTTTGAATATAATATTTTTAATATTCTCGTATTTTTGTAAATAGTGTACATTCAGCTTAGTATTTGGCTGTTGTCTGTATATCTTTCTACTATACCTGAATGAATGAATAAATAAATAATATGACTTTTGACTATGCATACAAAAGGGCTAGGAAAGATCCAGGATCTCTGGAGTTTTAGACAATAAGGCTTGAATGCATCCTACTGGGTACCCATTTAGGCAATACTGATGAAGTGCTTTGTGCGTGGACACAGACAAGTCTCAAACTAAAAATCTTGATCTCTACTGAAACCTATAAAACCAACATACTACCACATGGTACTTCAATAAACATTTCACAAGAGGTACTTCTATGAGAGGCACTGGCCTAGGGATTCATGATACCAATAGACTTACTTGCACAGGCCACGCTGCACCATCCCCCAGAGCACAAATGGTATGACCCTCAATCTGTTTCGTTAGTTCTTGGAGCATGTCTATTTCTGATGGTTTTGCATTTCCAACAACTGTAAAGAAAATTTTAAAAACTGATTACACATAAATAGTCACATTCCACAATTCAAAAAATCAGCAATGAAAAACCACATAAATACAGTTTGGCCCTCTAATTCAAGACTTCTTTTATTGTGATACCACATTAATCCAGGACCACTTGTTTAAAGTACCGCCTTTCAATCTTCAATCTTTTATCAAAAATTTAACCCTCTAATTGCAGACTAAACACCATGATCATACTAAATGATGGTCTTGAATTAGAGGGAGAACTGCATTGAAGAATTTTACTCTTACCAAATCTATCCATAACTTGTTTCATCCATCCCATACCTTCTCTACAAGGTGTACACTATGAACAAAATAATAATGTTACATAAGATATTAATGATAATCAACTATCATATTAATACCAGTCAAATAAAAATTTTAAAATGAACCTTATTTTTATATTTAATTAGCGTTAAAAATCTGTAATACAATTCAAGATACTATTCATTTGTGAAAGACGATAAAAAAACGATCTATTAAACTTGTATTTCTGGCCTCTAGCTAAAACACAAGAACAACGATGATATTGAACCATGCGTTTGAAAGAAACTTCACAGTTCAGCGCGCGCACACACAGTGACTATCACCAGTTAGCTGACTGATCAAGTTTGGTAAGAAGACAGAAAGATTTGCAGACTGGGTGTTGTGACTTAAGCCCAAAACAGACAGCGTTATACGACGCAGCCCGACACAATTTGTTGTCGCATCAGTCTGTGTGAATTAAACACTGACGTGATGGGTCGTCACTGGAGATAGTTGCGTCGCAGCATATTACTGTAAACATATTTAATATTCTCACGATGACCTAAAGACTGTCCCCAACGATAAATCATGTCAAGCTGCATTGTACAATGCTTTCCGAGTTAGCCTTTACGTATGAAGGTTGGATAAAGTATTAATGCTAATTGTATGCAAAGTATGAGGGAGTGAAAGATTAGGATATTTTATGAGCTAGCAATATTAGGGATGTTTTTATTTTTATTGCTATGGTACTGTCATTGAGTTGATGATTATGAAGCCCTGTCCAGACTATCAAAAACATGTGAAATGCCTAAATATGATCATAACGGCATCACGTCATGAACATATATAGGCACATCATGACTATATATGGGCATACAACAGCATTTTGTCAAACAAAATTTGATAGTGTGGAAAGAGCTTAAGTTACCTGTCCACAACTTTCGTGTTTGTAGAAGTCAATTAATCTAGCAATACAATCAACTATATCAGCTTGTTTGTCAATTACTATCAATGCGGCAGTTCCAAGACCAGTCTGAGCTGCCACCAGTGCATCGAAGTCCATCATCACATCATCACAAACACTGAAAAATACAAGTGAAATCTTTTGTATCAATTGTAATGACATTGGTTGTTCCCACACAGTACTTTCTTGGCTCAAAAGGACCAGGCAGAACCTATCATACTGTAACTGCTGTAAAATATCGGAGTGGGGCCTTTTCACAAAAATGGCAAATGTATATCATAAAGAAGATATGATATAACATATTGTATGTAAAAAATTATACATATATAACATAAATGTAGGAGATTGAAATATTTAAAAAATCTGCTATTGTAAAAATACCGAAATTTCATTATTTCTGGAATAATGATACTGGAATAATTTCATCTCATTTGTTGATAACAAAATTTGAATAGTTAATATATACTTAATATAATGGTGTGTTATAAAACATGTACATTACGAAATGCAGGATGGAGTGCATTTCGATACTTGGAGTATGTATTATACTATCTTATACAATCACTTACTGCTTTGGTATAAGTGGTGTTGAAGATCCACCAGGGATGACAGCTGCAAGGTTATCCCAACCACCACAAACTCCCCCTGCATGACGCTCAATTAACTCCTTCAAAGGAATGGACATCTCCTCCTCCACGGTGCACGGAGTGTTTACGTTTCCCGAGATATTAAATAACTTGGTGCCAGAATTACGCTCACGACCAAATGACACAAACCACGATGCTCCACGACGACAGATTGTCTAAAACATCCAATTACAGAATTATAATTGTAACTTAGTTAGAGTGGGATTTTCACTAATCGATGGGTAGTTCATTTGATTGGTCAGCAAATTTGACCTGTACCTGTGATATTATGATTGGTAAAGAAGCTTGATCTTCACCTGGGTATTATGACTGGTCAGCAAGGATGACCATTCACCTGGTGTATCATGATTGGTCAGCAAGCATGACCATTCATCTGGGGTATTATGATACGCAGGAAAACTTTCAAATAATAAGCCTTGAAAACTCATGTTTCGCACCACCTAATCATTTGAACATACACTACACTTTTTGAGGAATCAACGCATTATTGAATTTTTTTTATTAGGAATTTTGGCAGTTTTCATGTTTCCAGACAACAAGTCTGAATCCGAGGACCATTTCCCTATGCAACATAAAAACCAAAAAAATATGGTTAAAATTAAAAATAGTTTTTCTTACAGGTGCGACAGCAACAGTCTCCACGTTTGCAACAGTCGTTGGACACCCAAACACTCCCACGTCAGCTGGAAATGGCGGTTTCAATCTAGGCTTTCCTTGTTTACCTTCTAGGCTCTCAATTAATGCTGTCTCCTCACCACATATATATGCTCCAGCCCCTCGATGCATGTACACATCAAAGTCATATCCTGAACCACAAGCATTCTTGCCAATGAGCCCAGCATCGTAAGCCTAAGTAAAGATATGTGATTAAAAATAACTTGAAAACATGTTTTAATGTAAATTTATTGTCCAAGATGAACATTTTCTCTAAAAAAAAATATTTTGCAATACCATACTTTGTAAATAAAATTTAATACAACATTTAAACTTTATCGTCATTAAATAATCTCGGGTAAATCTATTCTGATATTTCACATGAGGTTCTGTTCGGCCAATTAAGCAAAGAAAGTTCTGTGCTGTTTAGAACAACTGCCAACCAGGATATTTTAACTACATTGGTAAAGCGAACTTATGGTAAGCCATTCACATGTAGTCTGCTTGGATAATACACAGAATAAAATATACTAAACTCAGTATGTTTCGCTTCACTTTCTGGAGGTTTTTTTGAAATAAATTAGTAAACATAATAACCTCAAGAAGCTAGCTTCAGAAGCTAACAAAAACTTGTGACTCAAATACATATTTCAGGTGCTACCCTTTCTATTTGTTTTTATTAATAAAATAAGTGATACTCACTTCCTTAATTGCCACTTGCATGTTGGTACCTTCATTGTAGAACTCTCCTCTAATATATATGTACGCTGAAGAATACAATTAAAAGTTTTATAATAACAATAATAATAATAATAATAATAATAATAATAATAATAATAATAATAATAGTTGTAACTTAAGGGGAATACTTTGTGTTATTATCCCCTTAACATCATGTCAGTTTCCCCTTAACATCTTTTTTTAATTGTTCTCTAATTTCTCTACTGTCTATTAATTTCCCCTTAAGGTAGGTTTTAGTAACATAATAATAATAAAAACAATAATAATAATAATTATAATAGATGGATGTGTATAGTGCAAATAAACAAGGTCTCTATGTGTTCGATAAAAGGTAAGTAGACAACAAAAAAAGAATAAATAAGTATAACAGTTTTGCCTACTGTAAGCCTACCTGCTCTTGCTCCCATAGACCTGCCAGCTACTAGGCAACCTTCTATTAGCTTATGGGGATCATGACGCATTATCTCCCTGTCTTTGCATGTTCCAGGTTCCCCTTCATCTGCATTAACAACAAGGTACTTTGGCCTGCATAGAAAATACATATACTATACAAGTAGATCGGCTGTCATGGGCGGTTATAATAATACAGTAATAATAATGATAAATAATAATATTTATTTGGCAGTTAAGCTTAATCTTGCCAGGAGCACGGAATATGTATAAATCCAAACAGTAAACTGCCCTTACTCCTCATCAAATACAACACAGAAGATGCAAACAAGTTAAACTTTAAACTTACACTACCAAAAAAAGAAAACTTAACTATAATGGATATAAAATTTAAACATTTTTTAAGATAGAGGTAACAAATCAGTAATTTGAGATAAAGTAGTTTGCTAGTTAAGCTTTGAAATCAGAAATTGATGTGGATTGATGAATTTGTATGGGAAGTTGTCCCCATAATCTTAAAAAAGTTACAATACAGTAGTTGAATTTTAAAAAGCAATGGTCTTGGCCTTCCAATGTATTAAAGTGTCCTTCACACCTAATCACAGTAGCCACTGAATAACTTTAAAACCAAATGTGAGTCTATTATAAACCTTGAATACATCTTTTATACTTAAAATGCCTAATGCCCTTAATCTAATGAGGTGTCCCAATTTCCTTCCTTCTTTTTCTATAATAATTCTAGTGGTTACCTGCCATTATCAGGTTAGTTATTGATATTAATCATTATCATTAATCAGTTATCATTGATCATTCATTAACATATACTGACTACAAATAAGCAGAAACATGGGTAGCAGATGGGTTGTCATTCTTACCTGCCATCATCAGGTTTGTTCATGAAACTCCACTTCAAGCCAGTCGGGAATCCTGCACCTCCACGCCCTCTAAGTCCAGAGGTTTTCACTTCGTTTATAATCCACTCATGACCCTTCAGAAGGATTTCTTTAGTCTTGTACCAGTCACCCTTTATTGTAAAAAAAAAACAGGAGAAACAAATTAACATGAATATTTATAAAACAACAATAAAAATGATTAAAAAAGAGAAAAATGGCTGGTTGCCGCATGTTGTAGTGATTTGGCCTCTCAACATTGATGTCGGAAGTTTTCACGCTTGTGTCCTTAGGCAAGGCACTTTATCCACATTATCTCTCTTTGCTCAGGTGTATAAGTGGGTACCTGGCAGTGGTAGACATTTTATCAAATAAATAGTCCTAAAAAAAGATGTTATGTTGGCCTAACACAGGCCCCAAGAAATAGGGTACAGTAGGTAGGGTTTTTCTTTTCTTTTTTTTTTTTACTGCCACAATTTACAGCAAAGGTCTTGAAATGTATAAAATCAATTAAAGAAGCCTTTAAAGCCACTAATTGTCATGTTTTCGCCCTTTGAGTGACCCCCGACCATGCCCACTTTGCTCACGTAAATTTGTATCGTGAAATTTAATTAAAAAACAATGTCTAAGGTCGGTCGATCTTTTTAGCATCAGTCGGGTTACGCTAACATAACCTTATTTTTTATGGCCTTATGCGCTGACTCAGCAGCGGCAATTGTGGAATAAGTTTCAGAGGTATTAATTCCGATTACTGGGGGTAATAATGTGCAGTGCATAGATACATAGTGATATATAAGAATGCATTTATTATTTATTTATTATAATGAAAACAATTTCAATGCATCACATTCAATAGTTATGTTGTCTTTATACTCCTGTTGTAATGCTGGGCTAAGTACTGGACATAAAAATGTAATACTCATTTCATTAAAAAAATTGTTACTAACCCTTGCCAAAGCACCCTTGAGACGAAAATCATGACGTCCGTAAAGGTTTGTGAAAATCCTGTCTTCATCTTTCAAGTTACCGTATACCTATAAATACAAACACACTGACAATGACAATAAATAATATAAGGTAACAGTACTGCAATAAAAGGCTGTATTCGACTGGTCGTTCTTCATTAAACCACGCCCACCTGCGCAGTGGTAAAATCCTACTTAACGAAGATGACCAGTCGAATAGAAAAATGGTAAATACTAGACAAAACAAAATGGCTGCATAGTTACCGCGATACACAATGTGTAATCAAGGCTGCTTCAAATTGTGGCAGTATGGGTTTTTCGTAAAAAAAATGTTTTCATCCAGTTTTTAAATTCTGTTAGCCTACAATTATTTTTTGATTTCAATGTGGGTAAATATTATAATCTTATTTTCTAAAATTTAATCTAAATTATATTAACGCAAATGATTGCTAAACTGACCAATTGGCCATTTTTGTTTGGCCATGCATTAAACTTAACACTGATTAACGCATTCTGGTTACGTTAATTTTCATTGTCAACGAAGTCTATTTTACGAACCAGTCGAATGAAAATATTAATCAAAGAAAATTTGTACTCAACGAAATGAACCAGTCGAGTAAGCCCAAACTAATGACAAAAACAATAATAAAACAGGGTTTTAGCTGTATAAAAACAAGGATAGGTGTAAGGGTGGATGGGTGATAACATTGCTAAACTATGAATATGAGTGGATTTTAAGGATGGGCAAAGTGGTTAATAAAGGTGGGTGGAGGGCCATAAAATTAGCTTTCGATCGAGTGAATAGAAACAGCATGAAACATCTAACTTAACTCGGTATTTAACTTTCAGAGTAGATGCATAATTATATTATGAGCATTATCAAAAAAATCAGCAGTACAAAATAGCGAAATTAACTCTATAATCCTCTCAGACTGTACTGTAATTTCTAGGACAAATTGTATGATGATTTAAACACATCTTAGGGCCTTGGTCTACCTTGTTTTTAGAGCTTTGTGAAGTGCTGAGACATCTGGTTAACACATAAGATGGATACCCTGTTGTACTACTCTTCATTAATCCTGCAATAAAAAAAAAGTTTTAAATTTTAAATATCTGTTTAATTAAAGTAGTCACTGACAAAACAAGTATCAGTAATCACAGTAATTCATCATCATACAGACAGGACAGGCCCAAGACCCTCTCTGGGTCTGGGATAGGCAGTGGCTTTTTCACAGTACACAAGTACTACAACAAATTTCTTATTTTAGATTAGATTAGATTAAATAAGTGGTTAAGTTTTAAGCTTTTGGCCTTTTTAGATCCCATATCTCCCCAACTCTCCAAAAATTATCCAAGTGGTTCTTGAAAGTATTCACAGATGGAGCAGAAATGTTGTCTACTGAAGAGCATTCCATTCTTGTTGAACAATTCTTTAAGGGAAAATGAATTTTCTGCATAGCAGATCTTTGTTTATACTTTTTTTGTACAAACTTGAAGACTACGACCTCTGGTTTGTACATTCCTCTGTTAATCAGATCGATTTTTAAAGAAACTGTTAACATCGACTCCCACGTGTCCGTGTATAATTTCAAAGGTTACAATAATGTCAACTCATATTCTCCTCCTCTGTGTCAGGACCGGCAAATATGCCAAATTACTGTAGTTATTTTGCCGGTCTATTTCTTTGATTGGCTATTGTAAATTATGACATCAAATTTCGGAGTTGTATGTTTTACAGATGCCGGCAGAGACATTACACGCATTATTAACCGTACATACTGCTGGTAAAAAGCTTCTTTCTACTACATTGCCGGTTGGAATCACAAAAAGTAATAAAAAAAGTAAAGGTTTTTTAGGGCTATTAGATCAACTGTAGTTCTCAGCCATCGTCTGTACCTTGGGCCTTCGCAAACCCCGCCGCCCCTCCCCCCTATGTAGCATGGATAAGAGTGTTCAATTATTGATTGCATTCAAAACATAGGACATTCAAATAGTACTATTTGAATACAGTATACTGTACATGTATGAGAAAATTACAATCCTACAAAAAATACATAAGGCCTATAAATTTACTGTGTATATCAATGATGATATGTAGAGTAAGGATGTACAGTCTGTCTTGTTCAGAGCAGTTTATCGATTAAAGACGATCACTGTGTTCTGCACTTCCAAAAATTGCACCACCAATTGTCCGCCCTTCTGCGGAATGAATCCCTCATCATCACTAGCCTTAGTTGCGGTGATTGAATGGATCTAAGTTTGTCTTTATAAGCTGGCAAGAAGGGAAGTCTACTCTATCTACACTAAGCCCAATCGTCTGTCACAGTCAGATCTCTCTCTGTTCGCCAATATTTTGACATACAGTACTGTATATTTTTCACAACCTACTTCTCTTTTTTCGGTTTTCTTCAAATTCTTTTGTTATTATTTCGACATCCAAAAAATATATCACCAGCCTATAGATAATTCATCATCCATGGTTTTTTGGCTTTTCGTGTTTCTTTCCTGATCCTTCGTTTGCGGTGGTCTTTGTTTGATGACGTCATAATTTCATTAGCCACTCAGAAAAATAGACTGGCATTAGGCCTATATTGATGTTTTCATATTTGCCGGTGTCGGCATAATAAACACTGCCTTTTATTAATATGAGGGCCTAGGATATCCTGGTAGGGCCAAGTCCCTAGCCTACCTAGGCCTGGCCCTAGGTAGGCATCCCTTACAATGAATTGAATTCATTGATCATGATCTTGATAAAATAATTGAAAAACTCAAGCTGGAGTATCACTCAATGAAACAAAAATACAAAACAATGTGTTTCATACATATCGCTGCCGAAGCAGTCTTGCACCTAGATATAGGCCTCTACAGTAAAAACGCTATCCTGCTCGTACTAAAAAAGCCTAGGGCCTAGGCTAGGCTAGGCCTAAGCTTGGAGGCCCGACTAGACAGAGGCTATGTATGTACAGTATTGTTGGCCCAGCCTAAGCTAAGCCTTGAGACCACCATCCATACAGTGCAGCAGGCCAGGCCTACCATGCCTAGGCTGGCCTAGTAGACAGGCCTGGCTACGCTTAAATCAGACCAATATTATCATTAGATTATATATAAAGCAACGTTAGACAGATACAAACCTCTTGTAAAAGGTACTATCTTATGTAAAGATGTCATCTTCAACTGCAATCTTATATCAGTCAAATGTTTGTATAGGCTTACAGAAATATACAATTATAATATAGGCCTAGCCTACTCTTTGCTGTAATTCCATAGCTCTATCTATGTGTAATTCGGTAGTGGCTATCGGCACTGCCGCAGTGCCGTTTTGGCACTGCCGCAGTGCGACAAAGAGCTGCTGTTTTCTATCGGCACTGCCACCGTGCCAAAAAGCTGCCGTTTTTTATCGGCACTGCCGCAGTGCGAAAAGCTGCTGTTAATTAATTGAATCCATGTTTTTATCGATAGATGACATTGGTATAATTCATAATTCATAATTTTATTTCACTCAAAACTTAATGCGACTGGTAGGCAAACTAGGGAAAAGATGCCTACCAGAGAAACAATGATGGAAAAGACATAATATAATTTAAATAATAATAATAATAATAATAATAATAATAATAATAATATTAATAATAATAATAATAATAATAATAATAATAATGATAATGATAATAATAATAATAATAATAATAATAATAATAATAATAATAATAATAATAATAATAATAATAATAATAATAATAATAATAATAATAATGAGGAGGAGGGGCTGGACTGTCATGAAGGTGTTGTATTAATGATGTTCTAAATATTTAGCTTTATTATAAATAATTGATTAGGTCTAGCTTAGCCTATATTATTGTTAACATTATATTATATTTGTTTTACAATTAGTAATTAAAATAATTATTTCTCATTAAATTATTAAATATATACATTATATATTATATAGGCCTATGCATACACACAAAACAAAAAATAAACAATAATAATAATAATAATAATAATAATAATAATAATAATAATAATAATAATAATAATGATAATAATAATAATTTTACGATAGTTTGATTAATGAGATAATAATAATCAGCATATTAAATAAAATTACTCCATGCATGCAAAACCTGCTTTTTAAATAAAAATGTTACCTATTTGATTCGGTTTCAAAATAATAATAATAATAATGATGAAGGTGCTCGAATAATGCTTTAATAAATTATCAGTTTCATTGTAATCTCTATGTTAACCAAATAATTTTATGAAGCATTTAACAATTTAGTGGGCCTAACGCTGGTTGTAAATGTAAAACAAAACAAAAACAGATGCTAATATTATCGCAAGATTACCGCATATTTTTGGTAAGCATAGCTCAGGATGGTTCACACGAGGTGACAAATATCCGTCGAAATGCCGTATAAATAAACTGCAATTAGGCCCATTTAAATAATTTTCACACGAACTTACTAATATCTTAATTAATATATCTTAACATCTTAAATAAGTTAATTACTAAATAATTAATAGATCGATATAAACATTGTGACATATAATTACAATTTATTAATATAGTTTAATTAATAATAATAATACAAAAATCTGCAACGACTTTTTCAGGTCAGAAATCGGCATCAATATGTAATTTTTCAATCGCGATATTCGTATTTTTTTCGGTTCATTGAAGTAGCGATGATAAACATATATAATAATTAGTTTATAGTCACATTAAAAATGCAAATTATAATATAATATATATATAGTATATATATATGTTATATATATATGTATATGATATTGAAAGGAGTTAGCCGTTAACACTGTTTAATAAATATAAATCATCAAAAGACATGATGGAACATCGTAGGCTACCCTGTAGCCTTTCAAGGAATAAAGTCCTATAATAATATAAGTCCTGTGTAATAAAATTCCTCCGACGGGATTTAACAACAATAATTATAATCATTATTATTACATTAATAGAATTAAGTTAATCCAGCAATTAAACTGCTGAGTTAATTGTTTTAACTGCCTTCTAATACAATAATACATAAGAACATTAATAATAATAATAATAATAATAATAATAATAATAACATTAAATAGGATTAAATATGCCAACAATTACAATGCTAAGTAAATTGTTTAACTGTCAGCTAATACTATACGGTAGGAACAACATTAATAATAATAATGAAGATCATAATATTACATTAATAAGATAAACTAAGCCTACAGTTGAGAAGTTAAATAAATTATATTAACATTCATCTAATTTTTAACTTTATTAACCACTTTTTATTTTATAAAATGTTTTGTTTATTAGTGAAAAGGAACATAATTTAATAAAATAAAGAAAAAAAAAAAACAAGATTGATTTGGACGTAAGTTGATTTAATATGATGAATCATTATTAATGGTATATACCTATTATATATTTCTATAAATTAATCAACAAATATCCCATTAATCACATTATCGCAAATATGCCTATTGAAATATTATTGAAGTATTATTAGTTCTTTGTTAAAGCGTTATTCGAGCACCTTCATTATTATTATTATTATTATTATTATTATTATTATTATTATTATTATTATTATTATTATTATTATTATTATTATTATTTCATATATTATTTATCAACCATACTAACATTGAAAACTTGAATTATTTGGATAAAATTATCATAGGAAAACTTAAACTTATAATTTAAAAGATTATTTATTAAAACAGAATAAAATAAATAACATCTTCATTTATAAGGTTTTGCATAGACGCAAGTTGATTTAATATGCTGATTCATCTCATTAATCAAACAATAATTATTCATTATTATAGTATTATTCGAGCACTGTTATTATTATTATTATTATTATATTATTATTATTACTACTACTATTTTATTTTTAATTTTTGTTGTTTTATTTTTTGTTTTATGTATGGGCCTAAATATATGTATATATTTAATACTTCGAAATAATTATAATTAATTGTAAAACATATAGAATATATTGCATAGGCTAGGCTAGATCTAACCAATTATTGATACCATAATTTAAGGTTGATAATTAACTCTAATTTGAATAATTATTTATTAATTGTTTAAATTAATGAAATCAATTATATTTTTATTACCTCTAATAATTATTCATTATTATAGTATTATTCGAGCACTGTTATTATTATTATTATTATTATATTATTATTATTACTATTATTACTACTACTATTTTATTTTTAATTTTTGTTGTTTTAATTTTTGTTTTATGTATGGGCCTAAATATATGTATATATTTAATACTTCGAAATAATTATAATTAATTGTAAAACATATATAATATATTGCATAGGCTAGGCTAGATCTAACCAATTATTGATACCATAATTTATCGATAAAAACATCTATTTGATTAATTAAACAGCAGCTTTTCGAGTGGCAGTGCTGATAGAAAACTGCAGTGTTTTGGCACTGCGGCAGTGCCGATAGAAAAACGGAGCTTTTTTCGCACTGCGGCAATAATGCCGATAGAAAACAGCAGCTGTTTGGCACTGCGGCAGTTTATTTATTTATTTGTGACACTTCACCTTTGTATCGGTGGCACTCACAAATAGTGGTGCGGTCTTACAAAATATACAACAAAAAAAGGATAGGATAATCAAAACATTAATAGGCAAAACAAGAAACTGAACTTAAAACTTAAAATTAAGTTAAAAAGGGCAAACACTGAGGTTGTGAGGCCGCTAGACATTCTTTAAAACTCATCCACGTGATTTTCCAAATAATTTAAATATCATGAATATTTAATAGACAGCTCCATAAAGGAGCTAGCCAGGGAGTGTGACGGTGATCTGACATTAGTACAGGAGGTTTATTGTGGAAAGTTGGAATTATTATTATTATTATTATTATTATTATTATTATTATTATTATTATTATTATTATTTAATGTTAACCTGGCTCCAGCCAGGTACCCTATCCACTTTCTCCAATGTGGCTAACAAGCTCCAGCTTTAATTTTCTGGCCAAAATAATTTTAATCTATTTTTTAATTGTCAAGCATATAAGACTGGGAGTAATCAAATTAATATTTTAATAAATTACCAATTATTAAAATAATTTTTTTTGTTTTATTTAGGCCTAAGGTTGATAATTAACTCTGATTTGAATAATTATTTATTAATTGTTTAAATTAATGAAATCAATTATATTTTTATTACCTCTATTTAATTTGAGTGTTTGCTTGATTTATATGTAAAATAATTATGATAAAAACAATTACACGGAACTCAGAAGCACCAAAAAAACGCAGCACAGCAGTCATAATGATATGTGGGCCATATAAGCTCAACCTTTCGAACGGTCCGTCCATCAATCAAGCAATTATCATAGTGCAGTACATTCTGATCAACCTTTCGAACGGTCCGTCCATCAATCAAGCAATTATCATAGTGCAGTACATTCTGATTCTAATTATAAAAATGTACAAAATATTCTTCTTTAGGTACCGGTACATTTTTTTTTTTAATGAAATTTGTTGGATACAAATCAACAAATAAAACCAAGAAAATTGTTATGCAATACAAATCGGATTTCAGAAACTATTTATTATGCAAGAGAACAGACAGCTGTTATACTGTATTATCATTTAAGTTATTCTTCTTTACTGTAGTCTGTTATCTATTGTGCAAGAATGCAGACAGCTTTTATACGGTCATTATCATTAAAGTTATTCATTAAATTGAACATTAAAAACTTGTTGAATACAAATCGAAAAATAAAACTAAGACAATTTTTATGCAATACAAATCGGATTTCAGAAACTACCGTATTTATTATGCAAGAATACAGACAGCTGTAATACTGTATTATCATTGAAGTTATTGTTCTTTACTGTAGCCTGGTCTGTTATCTATTGTGGAAGAAGCAGACAGCTGTTATGCGGTCATTATCATTAAAGTTATTCTTTATTATTAACACATTAAAATGAACATTAAAACTAAGATTTTTTTTTCCATTATTTTTTATTCTCCACAATTTCCATGTTTAACAGTTGAAATAAAAGCTACTTTAGCAATTACAGTGGGGGTTAATAACATCCACACCGTTTCTAAAGTGTATACTTCTGAGAATACTCATCATGCATACATTTACCTGCATAATATTTGTCTATGGTGTGCATTTTCAAACCTATATTGAAAATATGACACGAAAAAGTTCTATATTTAAAAATGTGCCACATAACAATTCATCTCCACACTTCATTGATAAATTAGACCTTACCACAAC